GGGGCGGCCGAGAGCGGGCTGGGCAGGGCTCGCGCGGGGCCCGCACGTCTGCGCCCAGAGCCCTCCGGGGACATCGCAGGCTTTGGGGCGACAATGGGAGCGAGGCTGCCCCTGCCTCCCTTCTCTCTCTGACCGTCTTGAGTACGGCCACCACTTATTGCTCGCGGTAGCAGCCGTAATAACAGTAGTAACACCACCACCACCAATGGTGACGGTAACGTGACTTTGACAGATACTTGGCACTCGGACGTCGGAGCTCACCAGGTCTCTCTCGTGCCTCCTCTCACCAGACCCTTTCACAGCGGGAAGAGCAGGGACCACTTCTCGGATGATGGACTTGAGACTTAAAGTGATGGAATGACCTGCCCTGCAAACGAGGGGCAGAGCTCGGGTTTGAATCCAGCCCTCCCTCCAGCTCCACGCGGCCCTCCATGGGGCCCCGTCCTGCAGGGAAGCCAAGCGTTCTCGAGGCTTTGCTGGGGGGCAGCTGGAATCAGCGCCGGCCAGGGAGGATTCAGGTGGGAGTGCACGAGGGGCTGCCACGGTCTCCTGAGGTCTCTGTGTGTTCCTCGCCTGGCACCTGCCTCACCCTGGGCACGCGCTGAGGTCTTTCAGGCATGTGGCCAAAGGGGTGGCAGAACCACATCCTCCCATTCCAGGTATTAATCACGCCTCCCTAGGGACGTGGTGGGAATTTGCCTACTCTAGTGGGCAGAGAATGTCCAACTCTGACCTCGGGATGTTCTCAGCTGGTCTCAGAGAAAATAGCAACAGCTACTGAGATCACGTATACCGAGGACAGTAGACAGGACTCCCCGAGCAGGGGACTGGGCTCCCTCTCCGTTTTCTCTGGTGGTCTGAGACCTGGGGGTCTGTGCTGGCCTTGTGGACACCTTACCCCTGAGTGACAGCATCATGCCTCCTTTCTCCCACAGCCACGGCCACAGCCATAGACAGACTGAGACGTGAACTGGTGCTCATTAACATGTGCTAATGAGTGTTAGCTGAACAGCGAAGGAGGTAAGTGAGAATCAAAAAGAGGTCGCTAGGGGAGAGGGGGAACCAGCAGGAGACAGAGAGGGGGAAGGGGTGAGCCCAGAGTGAGCCTGGAAGGGGCAATACAGAGCGCAGGTTCCAAAACCACTTGTTTTTTGCCCAGGGCAAATGTGTTTAGAGTTACTTGCAGGAACAGACTAGGAAGGAGAAGTCATAAGAAAGCTTTCAAGGTCCCATCCCCCTGGTTGCCCGGCCAGAGTCCTGAGCTGAGCAATTCACCAAAGCCACTGCATCGCTTGCCCTGCCTCCCTAGAGGTACAGTGCCTAGATGGTACAGTGGTTAAAAGCAGGCTCTCTGGAATCAGGCTGCTTGGGTCCGAATCCCAGAGTAAACTGTGTGTCTTGGGCAAACTACATAACCTATCTGTGCCGCAATTTTTCTCTTCTGCAAAACGGGAATGTGGGTATTTACTCCTGGTGCCCTTCATGGAGCCCGTGATCAGTGGTTAACTTGGCAAGAAATTCCTTGGTCAGCATCCCTCTCCTGGGGTAGCTAATGGCTCCCATAGGGGCTAACCCTAACGTGAGGCCAAGGGGAGAGGCAAAGACAGATCTGTCTCCAGAACACAGGCTCTTAACCACTGTGCCACATGGCACCTCAAGGGGCCAGGCTCAGCCCTTCCAGCTCTGACACCTGCCCATAAGGCTCCTCTGACTCACATCCTGCCCCCTCCCCTGCTACAGATCTGTGGGGTGAGAGACTCACCCCCGGCTCACTAAAGCCCAAAGCCGGTGCCCCCTCGCTTGCTTTGGTTTTCCTGGTGAGTGACTGAAGGTGGAGCTCCTGCTTCCTACTTTCCAGAGCTGCTAAGACCAAGGAGAAGATGGTCCTGGTATGACTGAGGGGTGGCCACAGTGACCTTCGAACTCTACATTGGGACAGTCCTGCATCATTCATTTGAGATGCGTGGTTAGAGTCTGTTCCTGGGTAGCCCATACCTGCCTCTCCCAGACACATGTCACGGAGGACTGAAGAGCCCAGGTAAGTCCCTTTGTCCTTTATCCCCAAGTTGAGTCCTGCAGAAGCAGTCACAGTTAGGAGTTACAAGTCCTTGCATTGGAGTCAGACCAGTGTGGATTCAAAACCTACTTATAGGTTGTGAGGCCTTGGGCAAGCTATTTAATCTCTTTGAACCTTAGTAAAAATAGAGGTAATAATAATACTAGTCTCACAAACTCAGTGTAAGGACCAAAAACAATGTAGTCAAGGGGTTAGCTAGCAAGAATCCCAGGAGGGTAAGTGCTTAATTAAAAGGTAGGTGTTATTGGGCCGGCCCGGTGGCGCACTGCTACAGTGCGCCGCTTGGGAGCGTGGCGGCGCTCCTGCTGAGGGTTCGGATCCCACATACAGACCGGCCGCTCACTGGCTGAGTGAGGTGCGGGCGCAACACTGAAGGTTGCGATCCCGTTGCCGGTCCCGGTCCGGTGCAGGTGCGACACTGAGGGTTGCGATCCGTTGCCGGACACGGAAAAAGACAAAAAAAAAAAAAAAAGGTAGGTGTTATTATTGACACAGGATGTTAGGAAAAAATTTTCTTGTCCTGCAGTTGGGGCACTTAGGCCACCCTGAAAACACAGGAGCCAGACGTTTTCTTTCTGCTTGGCTCGCTCAGCCTGTCCCCACTTCTAACCAAGGCCATGCACTGTGAAAGGAGATGCCTGGGTGGGAGAGAGCATGGGGGGTGAAGCACTTGTGGTTCCTTCCAGAAAACCTCTCCAGGTCCTGGGAGACACCTGTGGGGAGGGGGCACAGGTGAGCCCAGCCGCTTCTGGAGAAGGCTGGGGTGAGCAGAATTTTGAAGTTTGGGCCACATGTGAAGATGGACTGGTGCTTGTTTCTGACTTAGAGCTGTCTGAAGGGCTGACGAAGCAGCTCACACTGGCCTGTCCTGGGTCTAGAAGGAAGATGGGGGTGACCGCAGTTCTCTGCAGCCCTTCAAGGTTGCTGTGGCTTCAGGGAAAGGTGTGTGGAATTTAAAGGAGGAGCCCCAGCCAGACACCTGCTGGTGTTTAAGATGGCCTTGGTGTTGAAAGAGGCTAAGGTGGAGCTGCAAAAGCCCAAGAAAACCTTTACTCCACTCTGCAGAGGGCCTCTGACTCCCCAGAGCCTGGCAGCAGCAGCAGAACTCCGTGTTCCTACACCCGGATGTGACCAGATAGGTAAGAAAATCTCCCCTCCCCATTTCTCCTCGCAGCCCTGCTCCCTTCCCCCCCGGGGGGGGGGGATGTCTCAGAGCCAGTCCATCCTCCATCCTCCACAGGCTCAGCCCTGGAGCCAAGCCCCATTCCCCTCCCCTATACGCTCTAACCAACTGAGAGACTGGAGTTTTAATCTGGATCAGACCAAGTTTAAATAACTGAATGTGAAAGGAAAAACATGGACTCAGAAGAAGAGGTTGCTAAACGGTGATGATAAAAACAGAACTCTTCTCTGTTTATGTCTCAACGAATTGAGCCTCTTGCTAAGTATTTTCAGATGTCTGAGGTTTTGCCTTCCTGCAGGGCCTCGCCCGGAGTTTTATAACAATGACGATGGTGGTGATGGTGGTGATGACCAGGAGGATCCTTTAAATTCCTTTACAGAGGGCTTTCATGTGTCTTGGTTTGTTCAGTTCTCACAACTAGCCTGTGTGTGCAAGAATTGGGCCCATTTTAAAGAAACAGAGACTTAGGCTCAGAGACATTAACACCCAACCCTGACCTGGCAGGGGTGGGATATGGAGGACACTTTGGCTCCTTTAGTTTCCAGGCTATGTGTGTGGAGTCCTTGTGGACCAGGCGTCAAACACCTGGGCAATATGTACAAAGCCCCTCCCAGTCCCAGCCACTGAAGCCACAGGGATCCTCGCAAGGAGTGATGCCTTGTCCGCTGTTTGCTAGATGCCCCCCAGTTCTCCAATGGCTGCCACCTTGTCTAGAAGGAGCAGATTGGACACCACCATCTCACCAGCTATGCCCCAAGTGTGAGATCCGACACCAGGGACTGGCAAGAAGGCTTGCCTGACTAGCCCTCTGCCCCAGGCCCCTGGAATGGCTCCTCCAGGAAGACAGGGAGGCCTGGTGACTGTGAGATGCCAGAGAACAGATGACAAACAACTTTCCAGCCAGTACCCACTGGGCCGTGGTAATTGGCTGAGCTCCTCAGAACACCTGGTGTTATTTTGGAGAACATCAAAGAAAAAGTCAGAAGCCCGACCTGGTTCCCCCCTCTGCCTGGAAAGGTTTCTTTCGAATATTGCTTCTTTGGTCTTTATAATGGTCAGGCCTGGCTACTGGGGTGCCAGAGAGCTGGCCTTGCTTCCCAGAAAGGAGAATGAAAGAGATGCAGGAGCCCAGCAGTTTCCATGGAAACGGATTGAGGTGATGGGAAGACTAGAGAGTCCAGCGAACCCAGAGGTGGGAGCAGGACTTTTGAGTAACTCGATCTAAAGCTTGAAATCTGTGGACTAATACCTCTCCCTGTGCAAAGAATTTGGGTCACCAGGATAGCAGCAGGAGGTAGAATAGCAGCAGCTGGGGGCTGTTAAGTGACCCCTCCCCCAACAGGCAGGGGCACAGGAGCTGAGAGCTCAGACTCCAGAATCCCACAGGTCCCTTTCAGCTGCTGGATTGGCTGCTTATCAGCAGTTCTGCCATATATTGGCTGTGTGACCCTGGGCAAGGTATTCACCCTCTCTGAGCTTTAATTTCCTCATTAGTAAAAT